GTCAATGTGGTGTTCTTACAAAGTGCATCTGCAAGTGCTTTTCCTCCTTCATCAGATATATTATTTTTACTAAGGTCTAAAGTGGTTAGAGCACTATTTGTACAGAGGGCTTCGGCTAATGCTTTTCCACCTTCATCACTATTATTATTTCCTTGAAGATATAGTGATGTTAGGGAATTATTTTTACGAAGCACCCCTGCAATTGCTTCTCCACCTGTGATACCAATATTATTGGTGCCAAGGCTTAACGAAGTTAAAGTGGTGTTTATTTGAAGTGCTCTTTCTAATGCTTGCACCACTTTATCAAGATTATTTTGAGAAAGATCTAATGAAGTTAGAGTAGTGTTCTTGCAAAGAGCTTCTGCCACGGAATTGGCAAGATCTTCCTGGCATGTTACGGAACCATAGATGCTTAATGAAGCCACTGTGGTATTGTTGGCAATGGCTTCTTTTAATGCTATTACTTCTTCAGAACTAAAATTATTATTTTGAAGTTCCAAAGTCGTAATAGTATTGTTTCTACAAAAATTTTGAATTATTTGTGCATAAATAATTCCATTAATTTTTAAATATTTAAGATCATAACTTGTTCGTAGAAACATCGAGATTAAGAAACTTCTCATGGCATTTTGAAGTCCCTTGCCAACATTACCCACAGCATTATCAAGCCAATCTATAATTCCACGGTTCAAGTACCACTAATATACGTAGTATAACTTGTATATTCGAATAACGGCCTTGGACAACTTGGAAGGACAATTTTGAAAGGGGCTAACAATGCTCATTCTTCATCATTTAATGCCAAAAGGCATGTTTCTATAAGGCTTCCATCATTTAAGTAGTTGTCAATATTTATCCATAAAAGCGGTATGACAATTCTGTACCAGAGTCGGTTTACGAGAAGGCATGAAAATAAAGACACATCTCTGAATTTATTAAATATTTCAAGATGGCATTCAGTTGGTAATTTTTCCATGATTTTAAAAACAATTTGAAGGTTGTTTTATGTAAAACGTATGTGTATTAAAAGCTGGTAACTTTCAAAAAAAAAAAAAAATTAAACGAAGAATACAAATTCTCTGTGCAATCACTTATATCGATATGACATAATAATGTGATAATCTAGCATCCGGAAAATGGGCTCAACTATTAATTGGCGTTAGTGTGTACAGAAAATTGTAAGAATTAGCAGCAGATATATTATATAAAGGAAAGAAGCAACAAATTTTCAGAAACAAACCATTTATCGAAAATTATTGCTTAATTTCCAGACACCGACCATCCTGAAACCTCACTTCCTCAATGGAGTTCCTATGATTCCCCGACAGTCATTTTTCTGATGTCTGATTTTTTATCAATGATAACTCTAACTAGCATTTGTAGAATCTGCGGCGAAATTATACGTAATCTGTTGATTATACGAAATTCAATGAACATACGTATTCATGGCGAATCAAAAAAATCAAAATTGACTACAATTTTTTTGAATTCATTATTAGACAGGATATGTTTCTTTTAACTTTACGTGAAGTTTTCTCGGTAACCACCTAACTAGATTTGATGAAAATTTTTTTTATTTCATTTCTGCGCATTTGTAAAATTGAAATAAAAAAAAATCGGTCTAATAGTTGTTGAAAACTTCGCTCAAAGTCTAAAAATTTTTAATATTTGATTAGATAGTTGTCAAGTAAACTTCGCTCAAGTTTTAGAAAAATTTTTATGAGCGATTACTCTATCAGTAAACTGAACTAAGCTTTGAGTGAAATTTCTCGATAACTACCTATCAAATTCAATTAAAATGAAAAAAATTGATCGAATATAATTAGGTGACTATCGAGAAATGTCACCTAAAGCTAGAAAACCTGTCCCGTTAATTAATGAAAAATTGTTTACATGTATATAATCAATTTTGATTGGTCGAGATTATATAAGTTTGTTGTCGGTTCACCGACATTTATTTTCCATTTCACCGACAGTTTATTTCACCGAAACTTATTTCACTGACAAAATAATTCTGGTCATTGTCATTAGGGTCAAGTTAGAATTAGAGTTAAGGTTAGTCAAATTTATAAAAAAAATGTTTGCCTATGAAATGAGCTTCGGTGAAATGAGCTTCGGTAAAATAAACTGTCGGTGAAATAAACTTGTCTACGAAATAATTGTCGGTGAAATGTTATGTCTACGAAATGCGTGTCGGGTGTTGGTGAAGTAATACGTATCCAAGTTTTGTAATAATGCTTATGCGTGCATGTGATACATAACAGATAATTCATTTCATCTGTTATAGAGCACTGTGAAAATTATTTACTTATATTGTTTGAATTTAAATATGTAAAACCGAAAACAAGATCAAGTCTAAAATATAATAGTAACATTTGCTATTGACAAACTGTTTTAATTTTTTACTGAATTAATATTTTAACTTGATTATAATCATCATTCTACAGGATAAAAAAATCGTTTAATACCTTATATTTAATTAATATACCGTTTCTAATAGAGTTCCAAAAACTATACTGCTATTAACGTTACATCCTTAATTAAAATAATTTTGTAATATAGAATTTAAAATCCAAAACAAAAAATAATCTCTGCATTATTTAAAAAGCCGATAGTATCGCGTAACATGTATAAGAATTTATTTGAGCGCACGATAAAGCATTGCATTTACGTATTAATATCGATCTATCGCTATTGTACTGTACATTTTCTTTATTCTAATATAATTATAAATCGCTTGTAATCAATAATCTTATCTGAAAGGAACTCTTGCAGGACCTCCATTGCTTCAATATTTGAACAATAATAGCAAGTTGCGCTACGATCACTAATAACATTACTTGTTATATAATAATCTCAAACTTTTTCTTTTGAACGACCTGCACTTTTTCAATTCAGTGTTTTATTTGTTTTTCTGAATATGTTTCAGTTTGAGACGGGTTAAATTTGTATAAGTTGATTTCATATTAGAAGTTCTAAAGAGATTTCATTATAAACAAAGAAAATTTACTGTATCATGGATAGCTTTAATAGATTACGTGATATATCAATGGTCAATTTTGTAATTACAAAACAAAAATATTTTTGCAAAGTAAATTATTCTAGCATTTAAGTTGGCAACGCTAACTGCTATCAAATAAAGCTACGGAATAAAAATATAATACTCTTATTATTTCCACCCAATAGAGATGGGCGTTATACATTATGCGTATTACATTATGTCGTATAATTTTTAATGGAAGCATTTTAAAATTTTAAAGTGCACATATAAAGTATTATTAATTCAACTAAAATTAATAAAATATCATATTTTATATTATATATGACATACTTGCATGAAAGAGTTTTAATTTAGATTTTATGTTTATGAACGTATTATTGAGTGGATTGCGCTTCATAAACCAGATAACATTACAGCAGAGACCGTTAATGTTACACATATAATAAAACTGGTGAGGGATTATATCCATCACAATTGAATCCAACATAAATAATTTAATTTGTGATTGATCACAGGCAAAAGGGATTTAATTTGGATCGGGCACTGTCTCTGCCGTAAGATAACATCTAAAAAAAAAAATTAAAAAGCTGAACTTGGTTCAATATTTTCTGCGACAAATGGTTATCATGATAAAATATGTAAGAGCCCATGAACCATCTAGAATAGTTACACTTAAGATCTTGTCTGGTTATAAAAAATAATCCTGAAGTCATTTAATTTATTGTGTGGTTTATTAAACGCATATTAAATTAATTATATACATTTATACATCATATAAAATATATTCTTATGCATGCTTACAGAATAGGTAGCATACTTAAAACATGTAAATCGACTCAAAATGGAGAAACAAATACTTAATGGTATTTTAGTACAACGATAGTGGAAATCTTTGCAAGTTTTTAGGAAAATTTTCTTGACCTTATTTGACAATTAAATTAAATCTACTTTTGGATATTTCTAGCGATTTAAATAGATTTTATCAATCAGAATATATTCATAACGACTTTCAATATGGACTATTTTGCAGGATAAATGTATTAGTGAAAATGTACTAAAAAGTATAATGAAAACAATTCGATGGTATTTATGATATCATACCTTATGTTGTTCCCGAGGTTTTATCAATCAAAGGTTTAAGCAAGTGCTAATATTTACGATTTCGAAGTCATCATATCAGGGAGGACAACTGGACAAACCATTTTTATGTATAATTACAAATTTAACCTTGACCTTACGATAAAGATTTGTAAAGGATGGAGGTTTGAATTTGCTCCTGGAACTACAGAGTGCTATATTGTATTTGTGAAACAATACATGGATACTAATCCATGAAAACGACCTGATGTTTATTTAAGCTTAGATGATACAAATGAAAAAAGCAAGTTCTAAAAATAGCCAAAGACTTATCAATTGTAGCTATAATCAAATCGGTATGTAAGTCCTTGTATTGCTATTTCTGCATAGCCTAATTACCAAAAATCATGATGTTTTTGCATTGATATTATAGTCGCAGAGTCTAATTATCAAATATGAGGTCCTTTCACTGCCAACAGAAGCCATGAAGATTCTAAACAAGTACCAATATTCCTTGTTCAATCGGTGATAGCAATCTATCCTTTAGCAATACTATTGTAGAAGTTTTGCCTATTTTTATAGAACTTGAAAGCTAAAATTTTGTTGAATGTAGACACAAAATTTAAATTTCGCAACAGTTGAAAAAAATATTTTAAGTTTGAAAAGGGAGTCAACTAGTGTTGTAAGCCGATTAGGGGCTAGCCGACCCCTGATCGACTAGTCAACTTAGCCGGCTTGGTTGCAGTATTATTGGACAATTTAGTTATTGTTTTTTTTTATAGTTTTAATTGGATAATTAGCTTATTGTTATAGAAATAACGTTTTGAATTATCATTTGCGACCTTTAAAAATCTTGTAGTAAAACGTTTTGCAATAAAACTCTTGTAATAACAGTCTAAAAATTCCAAATTTATATATTGATATGGATAGCTCTTTAGAAAATGAACCCGAAGTGGAAAATGATCAACAATTAATGCCTACTACGCCTCTTATGAAGGTTATTCCAGCTAAACGAAGTGTAGAAAGCTAGGTTTGGTCATTTATAAATAAAAAAGCTCGACAATGCCAAGTTTTAATTGAAGAAAATGGTGTTAAACGTCAGTGCAAATGGTTTTGTCAAGAAAAAACAAGCACAACTAATATTGCTAGCCATTTAAGAGCCAAACATCGAATTATTGAAGGAAAAGAAATTGAAATAATAAGCTCTAAAATACATAAAAATAATTCACCAGAACAAAATAAAATTGAAAGAATTACATATAGTTTAATAGACTGGTTAATAGATGACATGCAAGCATTTCATGTAGTTGAAAATCGTAAATTTCAAAAATTTGTTTATGAGCTTGGATCATTTTATTCTATTCCATGTAAAAATTCCTTATATAAAACAATGAGTAGAGCTGTTAATACTGTCGAACAAAATTTAAATGAATTAATGAAAGATTCTATAGAATCCTTCTTTTTTACAACTGATTTGTAGATACAAGATCATAAACCTTACATTGGGATTACAATTCATTGGACAACACCTGATTTTGAAATTAAACAAGGATTACTTACAATTGAAAGTTTTAGTTGTTCTTATATGGGTGATAATATTGAAGATTGTTTGCGTAAAGAATTTCAAAAATGGAGTATTACTGAAAAACTTTTGGCGGGACAACTGATAATGATTCATCCATGGTTAAGGCAATGTGCCAGTTAGAAACTAATCAAGTTCATTGTGTCACACATACAATGCAACTTGCAATTAAAGACGGATTAAAACATATAAAAAATTTAATTGATGCTGCAAAAAAGTTAAATAATTTTATTGTTAATCATGATAAATACCGCCCACTAATAAAAGCAATTTATCATGAAATAAATACTAAAGGTAAATAAATTATATTTATTATGTGTACTCAATTTAAACAAAATCCTATAATGATAATATTTAATAACTAATTATTATATATTTAATATATAGTGCAGCAAAAAAGTATTTGTAATAAACTATCTAAAATTAAAATTATGAATACTTTTTTCCTGCATATATATATATTTTTATTATAATAATAGAATCTGATATATGAGAAATAAATGTTCTATATCCAATTGCATCAGATACTGAAACAAGATGGAATAGTACTTTTTTTTTATTAGAAAGGCTTATTTATTTTCGTAATACACTTTCTATATTAATTAATAAGCTTACTTTAGATCCTAACAGAACTACATAAAATGACAGTGATAATTTAAAAAAATTATTACTTAATTCAGAAGAGTGGGCTTCATTAGAAGAATTAATTTTATTACCTCAACCTTATGTAGATGCTACTAATATCACATCAGGCAGTTCATACTCCACACTTTCATTATGGTATCCTACTTTATATTGTTTAAGAGAATATCTAAAAAATACTGTTTATACTATTACAAGCCCCCAAATCATAATAGTATGTAATGAAATTTTAGCTTCATTACACAAAGGTTGGGATATTCCAGACAAATTAGGGTGCATAGCAAGTTTTTAGATCCTAGATTTAAATTTTTAAATTTTTTATCACCCCTTCAAAAAGAAAATACAAAACAGAATGTAAAAAACTGAATTGAGTTATTAGAAAATACTAACATACTATCAACTACTACTTCTGATAATACTTCTTTTTCTAATAATACATCCATATTTATAGATTTTTTTAATCACAATTTATCTTCACAACCTCCTACATCCCAAATTGATATAGAAATAACCCTTTATTTAAAGCTTCCCACTCTTTCTGTATTACCTTTAAATCATCCAAATTATCATCTTCATGATCCTTTACAATGGTGGAGGGAAAGAAAATCAACATTTCCTTTATTATATAGGCAGGCCCGTAGGTTCCTATCTATCCCTGCCACATCAGTTCCATCTGAAAGGCTTTTTTCAGATGCAGGTAACGTTATTACTGATAAACGAAATCGGTTAAATCCTGATACTGTTCATGGCTTATTATTTTTAAAAGAAAATGATCATTTAGTTTCATTTTATTAAGATTAAATTTATGATAAAGTTATTATTTATCTATTCTTATTATAGATTAATATAAAGAATTTATAGATTTTGCATTTAAATTACTTCACGAATTCAAATGTTATAATAAAGGATTTATAGAACAGTACATTTATTTGACTTATTAAATTTATTTATATACGTATTTACTTTTCAATTTAGAAGTAACGCTTTTAATAATCAAGTTATATCAGAAAAACCGGGTTTTACAAATTTTTAAATTTAGGAATAAATAACAGTTAATTAAAGAATTAAAGTAATTCTTAATAGTCAAGATTCTGTTCTGTTTGTTTCGGTACAATAAGATTAGGCAAGTTTATTTGGCACTATTAAAAATATAGCTACAAGTTACTATAATGAAGAAAGGTAATTTCTTTTATTTATATTATCCAACTACAACTAACCCGGCAAAGTTGATCTGAACAAGAAGTAAGTTATAGTATCTAGTTAGTTATTGATTTTGAAATCAGTAGTTTACATATATTATTTTGTAAATATGCTACTTGCCATCATACTAATGTTATACTTTTCACTGGAATTTCCATCTAAAAAAAATAAGTTCATAAAAGAAATCCGCATAAAAATTTTTGTCAACTTTCGCTTCCACGAACACCTTCAAAGTTTTTAACCTTATCGCCATCTTACTGTTGTCCCTAAAACATTACCACTGCAAATAAACAAAAATCCTAGGTGTCGAATAAATCCTCTTCAGTCAATTATAAATTTAAAAGGCTAAATATTTGACTAAGTATATATTTTGTTACTTATCGTTATCGTTATAAGTAATAAAGAGCGAAGAATCGTATTTCATGATTTTTAACTTACATGCAATTACGTAATAAATCACCAATCAAATAAATCAAATAATAGCACCCTGAATTTACCCCTTAACGACTTAGCCGGCTAAGCCGACGAATTAGCCGACGACTTAGCCGGTCGACAATTAGTCGATCGACTAACAACACTACAGCCAACGCTGCTAATCAACGTGATTTTTAATAGTCAATAATTGTGCCAATCATTGTGCCAATCATTGTAGTACATGCATAATTAGTCATCATTTTAACTCGGCACAGTCATGCAGGGGGTAATTTCAGCTGATACTGACATCATAAAAAAAGACAGCAATTCAAAAAAAGTTTTAGATTTTAAAAACCGCCACATATTTGTCCTGATGTGGATTAACGGTGCGGGTAAGATCCCACTGTGGGGCTGCACGGTGAGGTTCTTAGTTCGTATTCGGCTGCGGGCGTGGGCTCTCCTCCCCCATGTAATTCCTGGGTTTAAAGCATCAGGAAACCTTTTATTTATTTATTTATTTTATTTTTTCGGCTTTTAATTTTTCGGCTTTTAATTATCGCTTAATATATACCACCTGGTATTCACAGCACTGATAATGATTAGAAATATTCATAAATAAACATTTTAATTAATAAACTGTTTATGCTTAGTGTATATCTCTATTTGCTAGATGGAAAGAACCAAATAATATGTTAGTTTATGTACTGAAAGTTCGTATATAATAACATACAACAATCTAAGATCTGAATAAGATTCTTTCAATTCGTGATTCGTGAAATCCAAAGTTTTCTGTTAGGTGAGTTGTTCGTTGAAAATAACTGATTTACAGATTTAATGTATTAAAATCATTAAATTATTATATTATTATTATATTAGTATTAATGTAGAAACGAGAGAACAAAGGCAAAAAGACAATAACAAGCATTACCCGTAACGAAATAAATTAAAAGACAATCCACATCAAACATATTTCCACAATTAGGTGAACGAAAATGTGGAATAACTCCTGGAAGACTTTAATAGTAGAAAGGTGAGATGATTGAAGTTTTTTTTGTTCTTGAGATTGGTGTTGGAGACCGTAAAGCCATATTCGTTTGCTAGAAGGTTAGAATTTGAACAGATCTAGAAGAGTGGATTAAAATACTATAAAGTGATTAGATCGTTGAATAGAATCGTGCAAGGAAGCGATGAGTTAGTGAAAAAGGATATAACCTGTGATGCAACTTTCATGATGTAACTTTCAATAATTTTCTATCATTAGAAATTTGCTTAACAATCTTTAATTAAAATCTGATTAACATAATTAACAAATACCCAGAAATTTAGATACTTGACAAATGAATATTTGAAGAATGTCTAAATGTACCATAGTTGTCTTACATCATTCAATGAAGTTAGAACAGCTAACGACAATGAAGCAGTTAGGACTAGAGATGTGAGCGCAATTATAATTACGACCAATTACGGCATTGCGCTCATACCTCAAGTTAGGACGAAAGAAATTATAACCGGAATCAAAATCATAAAACATGAAAGTTAATATTAAATATGTCCTTAAGAAGATGATGCTGTAAATAAGATAAGAAATTTAGTTATTTTCAAAATCAGTTAATATGGATAATTCACTTGAAATATTTAAGTCATTTACCATTGTCAAAATAGAAGTATGGTCAAAAAAAGGAGGTGCTTACGTAAAGACTAGACAATATGATGATAATGAAATGATTGCTGAAATGAATAATATTCATCTAATGAATAGTATAAAGAAGAGAACTATAGTAGAACAACAAACACTGTGATTAGCGAGTTCTGTGTCATTGTGTAAGGATGTATGGACCTCTTACAGCTTAAGTAACACTTATAAAATTTCATTAATGCATTAACTTACATAATATTATTCAGAAAACAATAATAATCCGACTTGCTATTTCTCATAATATTTTTTAACCGAAATTCTGATCTGAATTAATCAAAGCTGAGCCAACATTAAGCAATGCCAACTAATTACGTCTATATCAAAACTGGAGATGATCAATTTTAATTACAAAAGTAATTACCGTATACTTCCGAAATTAAGCACCCTTTTTTTATTATAGGGGTGCTTAATTTCGGGTAATTTTAAATTTCCTAATTTGATTGGACACTCGTGCAGATCCGTGCAGATTCGTGTAACTACGCTAAAATATCATCTCTCATTGGACAAAGAGGATCACGCAACTTTTCGCCTGCCAATTAAATTACCA